TTTTGAAAACCAGAATACTTTAAGATTTAGTCATAATATATATAATATGATTAATGTTTCATTCTACAGGAAATCAGACTGTTAAACACCTGAACTGTGAAGAGCATCCATGAACATCTGATTGCAAATCATTGATCTAATATCTCATATTCCATGTTCTTGTATACAGACTCTTCTGGCACTATTTCTATTTTATTTGTATTTCTTGCACATCTCATCCTCTTGCTCTATTTTATCTGTTTTATGTGTTTTATGTCCTATATATATTCATGTTGCTCTGCTGGAGGAGCCTTCAGTTTCTCCTCTCCATCTCCTCTGTAGCAGCTGAGCTCACGGAGAGAGAGACGGCATTATAATCACTTTAGAAGCTGCTTAAAGCTGTTAAAGTGAAACTGTCAGTGAACCCCTAAATACCAGAACCCTTTAGTGATCAGATGAAGTCTGAGATGCTCCTTGCATCCCAGCAGCTCCATGTGTGACATCAACACACATCAACACACATGAACAACAACAACATGTAACATCACAGCAGGATCAGAGAGAGCTGCTCAAAGAGCCTTCAGCGTGATCTGATCTGTAGCTCTGTGTTCACTGAGAGGTCTTCAGAGGATGCTTCAGCCTGACTGGAGCACGGAGGATGCTTCAGGCTGACCTTAGTGATCCCCATCAGATGGTAGCAGTTCAGATTGTCTGTCAGAGCATGCTTTGGGTCCAGATGATGCTGCTGAGCCTCTCACCCCTAGATACCACCGGGTCCGTCTGCGGCGCGTTACTGCCACTCTAGTCAATGGGTGCTATTCCACCACACGCGGCGCGTTACGGCTCAGAAGCGGCTCAGAAGCGGCTCAGAAGCGTCTCGGCGCAGGGCTCCTCTAAAATTAGGATGAATCCTATTTTTGACGCGACGCAGCCGTAACGTAATGTCGGGCAGGCAGGAAGTGGAAACATTCAGAGCATATATATATATATACGATATATACACCCACACAAACTTTCAAGTAGGAGGAGAAATGCCAGCGTTCTCCTCCGAGGCACTGTGTAAATTATATATATAGAATAATTATGATGATGAATGCATTACCACTGAAATACAGCAACACATCTTTGATTCATGTCGTTTATAACTGGGATATTACAGTTATTATTAACTTTGTCTGTACAAAGTAGCCTGTCCAGGAAATATGCCCAAATCAACAAAAACTGCGAGCCGGCAGGCAAGACGCTCCGCTTCTGAAATGCTTCTGAAACGCGTCTGGTGGGGTATGACGCCGGAGGAGGCCGGACCAAAACCGTGACGCAGACGGACCCGGTGGAATCTAGGGGTCAGGGACCCTCAGTGAGTCTGGAGACCCTAACCTTGACCTCTGACCCCCAGGTGCAGTTTGCCTCTCTGATGGAGACCCTAACCTTGACCTCTGACCCCCAGGTGCAGTTTGCCTCTCTGATGGAGACCCTAACCTTGACCTCTGACCCCCAGGTGCAGTTTGCCTCTCTGATGGAGACCCTGGGGAGCGAGGCTTTGGGGAAGATCTTGAACATCGTGGAGGAGGCTGAGCTTCAAGGAGAGGAGAACAGATCTGAGACCAGTTTCATCCACATCCTGAACCACGTGGGTACGTACCCCCCCTCTATAAAACATAATCAATAAAGGCTTCTCAATTCTCTAATTTCCCCTCCTCGACTCCTATCCTCGACTCCTATCCTCGACTCCTCCTATCCTCGACTCCTATCCTCGACTCCTATCCTCGACTTCTATCCTCGAGACTTAGTCCCGCCCACAGGAGATGCGAGCGGAGGAGTCGAGGAGTCGAGGAGTCGAGGAGGGGAAATTAGAGTATTGAGATGCCTTCATGATGTCATAATGTTCTCCAGGTGCATGCTGGGAGTTCTCTGGTTATCTAGTAGTCTTCTCTTTAGCGTTTTAACATCTTGTAGATCGCTGATTTATTGCTTTTAAAGTGTCGTTTGTTTGTCTGTTTGTTTGTCTGTTTGTTTGTTTGTTTGTTTGTTTGTTTGTTTGTTTGTTTGGTGTATGTTTGTCTGTTTGTTGTTTGTTTGTTTGTTGTTTGTTGTTGTCTGTTGTTTTGTTTGTTGTTGTTTGTTGTTTGTTTCGTCTGTGTGTGTTGTTTGTTGGTTGTGGTTGTTGTTTGTTTGTCTGTTTGTTGTTTGTGTTGTGTTGTTTGTTGTTTGTTGTTTGTTGTTTGTTTGTTTCGTTGTTGTTTGTTGTTTGTTGTTTTTTGTTTGTTTGTTGTATGTAGTTTGTGTGTTGTTTGTTTGTTGTTGTTTGTGTTGTTGTTTGTTTGTTTGTTGTTTGTTCGTATGTCTGTTCGTTGTTTGTTGCTGTTTGTATGTTGTATGTTTGTTGTTTGTTTGTTTGTTAGTGTTGTTGTTTGTTGTTTGTTTGTTGTTTGTTTGTTGTATGTATGTTTGTTGTTTGTCTGTATGTTTGTTTGTTTGTTTGGAGTTTGTTGTGTTTGTTTGTCTGTTGTTTGTATGTTGTGTTTGTTGTATTGTGTTTGTCTGTTGTCGTATGTTTGTTGGCTGTTTGTGTTGTTGTTGTTGTTTGTTTGTTGTTGTTTGTATGTTTGGTAGTCGTTGTTTATTTGTTGTTGGGTGTGTTAGTTTGTTTGTGTTTGTCTGTTTGTTTGTCTGTTGTTTGTTGTTTGTTTGTTTGTTTGTTTGTAGTGTTGTTGTTGTTGTCTGTTTGTTTGTATGTGTTGTGTTGTTGTCTGTTTGTTTGTCTGTTTGTTAGTGTTTGTTGTATGTTTGTTGTGTATGTTGTGTGTTGTTTGTTTGTCTGTTTGTGTTTGTTTGTTTGTTAGTATGTTGTGGGTTTGTGTGTTGTTGTGTTTGTTGTTGTGTGTTTGTTGTTTGTATGTTTGTTTGTGTTGTGTTTGTAGTTGGTTTGTTGTTGTTGTTTGTCTGTTTGTTTGTTTGTATGTATGTTGTTTTTGTTTGTTTGTCTGTTTGTTGTTGTTTGTAGTTTGTGTTTGTAGTATGTATGTTTGTTGTGTTTGTTGTTTGTTGTTTGTTAGTATGTTTGGTTTGTGTGTTGTATGTTGTTTTTTGTTTGTGTTGTTGTTGTTGTTTGTGTTTGTTTGTCTGTTGTTGGTTGTAGGTTTGTGTTTGTATGTTTGTTAGTTGGTTTGTTGTTGTTTGTTGTCTGTTTGTTTGTTGTTTGTTTGTTATGTTTGTTTGTATGTTTGTTGTATGTGTTTGTATGTTTGTTGTCTGTTTGTTTGTTGTCTGTTTGTTTTGTATGTTTGTTGTTTTGTTTGTTGTTTGTTTGTTGTTTGTTTGTTTGTTGTTTGTGTTTGTTTGTCTGTTGTTTGTTTGTCTGTTTGTTGTCTGTTTGTTTTGTGTGTTTGTTGTTTGTTGTCTGTTGTTTGTTTGTCTGTTGTTTGTCTGTTGTCTGTTGTTTTTGTTTGTTCGTCTTGTCTGTTTGTTGTGTGTTGTTGTCTGTTTGTGTTTGTTTGTTTGTTGTTTGTTGTTTGTTTGTCTGTGTTTGTTTGTTGTGTTTGTCTGTTGTTGTTTGTCTTGTTTGTCTGTTTGTTTGTTTGTCTGTTGTCTGTTTGGTTTGTCTGTTTGTTGTATGTTTGTCTGTCTGTTTGTTTGTCTGTGTTTGTTTTGTCTGTGTTGTCTGTTTGTTGTTCTGTTTGTTGTTTGTTTGTAGTTTGTGTTTGTTGTTGTTTGTTGTCCTGTCTGTTTGTCTGTTTGTCTGTTTGTCTGTTTGGTTTGTTGTTTGTCTGTTTGTTGTTTGTTTGTCTGTTTGTTTGTCTGTTTGTTTGTCTGTTTGTCTGTTTGTTTGTCTGTTTGTTTGTCTGTCTGTCTGTCTGTCTGTTTGTTTGTTTGTCTGTCTGTTTGTCTGTTTGTTTGTCTGTCTGTTTGTTTGTTTGTCTGTTTGTTTGTCTGTTTGTTTGTCTGTTTGTCTGTCTGTTTGTCTGTTTGTTTGTTTGTTTGTTTGTTCGTCTGTCTGTTTGTTTGTCTGTTTGTTTGTTTGTTTGTTCGTCTGTCTGTTTGTTTGTCTGTCTGTTTGTTTGTTTGTTTGTCTGTTTGTTTGTCTGTTTGTTTGTCTGTTTGTTTGTCTGTTTGTTTGTTTGTCTGTTTGTTTGTCTGTTTGTTCGTCTGTTGTTGTCTGTTTGTCGTGTTTGTTTGTTTGTTTGTTGTCTGTTTGTTTGTCTGTTTGTTTGTCTGTTTGTTTGTTTGTTTGTGTTTGTCTGTTTGTTGTTTGTCTGTTTGTCTGTTTGTTTGTCTGTCTGTTTGTTGTCTGTTTGTTGTCTTTGTTTGTCTGTCTGTTTGTTTGTCTGTTGTTCGTCTGTTTGTTTTGTTTGTCTGTTTGTTTGTCTGTTTGTTTGTCTGTTTGTTCGTCTGTTTGTTGTTTGTTGTTGTTTGTTTGTTGTCTGTTTGTCTGTTTGTTGTTTTGTTTGTGTGTTTGTCTGTCTGTTTGTTTGTTTGTTGTTTGTCTGTTGTCTGTTTGTTGTTTGTTTGTTGTGTTTGTTGTGTTGTTTGTTGTTTGTCTGTTTGTTTGTTGTTGTTCTGTCTGTTTGTTTGTTGTTTGTTTGTCTGTTTGTCTGTTGTTTTGTTTGTTTGTTGTTGTTGTTTGTCTGTTGTTTGTTTGTCTGTTTGTCTGTTTGTCTGTTTGTTTGTTTTTGTCTGTTTGTTGTCTGTTTGTTGTGCTGTTTGTTTGTCTGTTTGTTTGTCTGTTTGTCTGTCTGTTTGTTTGTTTGTTTGTTTGTCTGTCTGTTTGTCTGTTTGTCTGTTTGTCTGTTTGTTTGTTTGTTTGTCTGTCTGTTTGTCTGTTTGTTTGTCTGTTTGTCTGTCTGTTTGTTTGTTTGTTTGTTTGTCTGTTTGTCTGTTTGTCTGTCTGTCTGTTTGTTTGTTTGTTTGTCTGTCTGTTTGTCTGTTTGTCTGTTTGTCTGTTTGTTTGTTTGTTTGTTTGTCTGTTTGTTTGTTTGTTTGTCTGTCTGTTTGTCTGTTTGTTTGTCTGTTTGTTTGTCTGTTTGTCTGTTTGTTTGTCTGTTTGTTTGTCTGTCTGTCTGTTTGTTTGTCTGTCTGTCTGTTTGTTTGTCTGTTTGTTTGTCTGTTTGTCTGTTTGTTTGTTTGTTTGTCTGTTTGTTTGTCTGTTTGTTTGTCTGTTTGTTTGTCTGTGCAGCCCTTTGGTCTGGAGGTTTTAAAGTGCTTTATAAATAAAGCTGTATTGAATAATAACTGGAGTTTCCTCTCAGAGAACGAACACTCGTACGGAGCCCGACTGCAGAGCAACGACTTCAACACTCAGGTGAGACCGTGGTGCCTTCACTGACCTCTGACTGCTGGTGGTGCCTTCACTGACCTCTGACTGCTGGTGGTGCCTTCACTGCCTTCACTGACCTCTGACTGCTGGTGGTGCCTTCACTGACCTCTGACTGCTGGTGGTGCCTTCACTGACCTCTGACTGCTGGTGGTGCCTTCACTGACCTCTGACTGCTGGTGGTGCGTTCACTGACCTCTGACTGCTGGTGGTGCCTTCACTGACCTCTGACTGCTGGTGGTGCCTTCACTGACCTCTGACTGCTGGTGGTGCGTTCACTGACCTCTGACTGCTGGTGGTGCCTTCACTGACCTCTGACTGCTGGTGGTGCCTTCACTGACCTCTGACTGCTGGTGGTGTGTTCACTGACCTCTGACTGCTGGTGGTGCGTTCACTGACCTCTGACTGCTGGTGGTGCCTTCACTGACCTCTGACTGCTGGTGGTGCCTTCACTGACTGCTGGTGGTGCGTTCACTGACCTCTGACTGCTGGTGGTGCGTTCACTGACCTCTGACTGCTGGTGGTGCCTTCACTGACCTCTGACTGCTGGTGGTGCCTTCACTGACCTCTGACTGCTGGTGGTGGTGCGTGCAAGGACCTCTGACTGTTGGTGCGTTCACTGACCTCTGACTCACTGTTAATGGTGCGTTCAATGACCTCTGACTGCTAGTGGTGCGTTCAATGACCTCTGACTGTCTGCTCATGGTGCGTTTACCTCTGACTGTCTGTTAATGGTGCGTTCAATGACCTCTGACTGTCTGTTAATGGTGCGTTCACTGACCCCTGACTGTCTGCTCATGGTGCGTTTACTGACCCCTGACTCTCTGCTCATGGTGCGTTCAATGACCTCTGACTGTCTGCTCATGGTGCGTTCAATGACCTCAGACTGTCTGCTCATGGTGCGTTTACTGACCCCTGACTCTCTGCTCATGGTGCGTTCAATGACCTCTGACTGTCTGCTCATGGTGCGTTCACTGACCCCTGACTCTCTGCTCATGGTGCGTTTAATGACCTCTGACTGTCTGCTCATGGTGCGTTCACTGACCCCTGACTCTCTGCTCATGGTGCGTCACCAGGAGACCTCTGACTGTTGGTGCGTTCACTGACCTCTGACTCACTGTTAATGGTGCGTTCAATGACCTCTGACTGCTAGTGGTGCGTTCAATGACCTCTGACTGTCTGCTCATGGTGCGTTTACCTCTGACTGTCTGTTAATGGTGCGTTCAATGACCTCTGACTGTCTGTTAATGGTGCGTTCACTGACCCCTGACTGTCTGCTCATGGTGCGTTCAATGACCTCAGACTGTCTGCTCATGGTGCGTTCAATGACCTCAGACTGTCTGCTCATGGTGCGTTTACTGACCCCTGACTCTCTGCTCATGGTGCGTTCAATGACCTCTGACTGTCTGCTCATGGTGCGTTCACTGACCCCTGACTCTCTGCTCATGGTGCGTTTACTGACCCTGTGTGTGCAGAAGCAGCAGGAGGCGTTTGAGGGCCAGTCTCAGGGTCCGTTTGTTCCAGCGCTGACGCTGAAAGACGATGGAGGCATCGTTGACCTGGAGGTCATCGCTGAGAGTGAGAAAACATGTTTATATTCATTACAGCAGCAGCTGACACGCTCTGAAGAACCTTCTGTTCCAGCATGACTGAGTCTCCCTGAACTCCTTTGGGATGAACCTCTCGCCCAACATCAGTCTGACCTCACAGATGCTCAAATCTGAGAGAAAAGGAAAGAATTATTCGAAACATTGAAAAATATCGAAATCCGGAAAAAAAAAAATTTGGTTTAAATGTAAAAGAGGTTAGGGAGGAAAACATTTATTTTAGGTAAAAGTGTAAAAATTCGGAGACAATTTTTCATTATTAGAATTATTAAAAAATTGAAATTCTGAAAGAAAATGAATTAGTTTAAAAAAATTAAGAATTCTGTAAAAAAAAGTCAATTCTGAAGAAAAAGTCTGAGAAAAAAAACAATGGAAAAAAAAAAGGGAAAAAAGTAATTTTTTTTCCAAAAAAATTACTTTTTTTCTCAGATTTTTTACTTTTTTCTAAAGATTCTGATTTTATTTCAGAATTTACTTTCCTTAAGAATTGACTTTTTTTGAAAAAAAAATTCTTTTTTTGAAAAAAAAATACTTTTTTTGAAAAAAAGTCATTATTCTGAAATAAAATCAGAATCTTTAGAAAAAAGTAAAAAATCTGAGAAAAAAGCCAATTCTGAGATGAATGGGCGTCCCACAGACACTCCAAGATATTTGAAAAGCCTTCCAAGAAGAGAGGAAGCTGTTAGAGCTGCAAAGAGGACTTAATTATAATGCTGTCACTAAAGCTATACTTTAGTCCATAGAGTGAATGTGTGGTGTTTCCTGCAGGAGCTCAGCAGCTGATCCACAGGGAGGAGGAAGTGTCTCAGAGCAGCCTGAAGTCTCAGCAGCTGATCCACAGGGAGGAGGAAGTGTCTCAGAGCAGCCTGAAGTCTCAGCAGCTGATCCACAGGGAGGAGGAAGTGTCTCAGAGCAGCCTGAAGTCTCAGCAGCTGATCCACAGGGAGGAGGAAGTGTCTCAGAGCAGCCTGAAGTCTCAGCAGCTGATCCACAGCAGAGAGAAACCCTTCAGCTGCAGCGTCTGTGGGAAAACCTTCAACAGGCAGACGCAGCTGAATACGCACAGCATCGTGCACACGGGCGAGAAGCCGCACACCTGCCAGGTGAGATATGATAAGGTAAACTGTGTTCAGTGATCCTCTGTCAGCATCGTGCACACGGGCGAGAAGCCGCACACCTGCCAGGTGAGATATGATAAGGTAAACTGTGTTCAGTGATCCTCTGTCAGCATCGAGCACACGGGCGAGAAGCCGCACGCCTTCCAGGTGAGACCAGACTGTGTGTCTTTGAGCCGCTGCCACTTCTGTTCCTTGATTTCTGCGTCACCGACCGACTTCATATTTGTCCATCCCTCCATCCCTCCCTCTCTCTCTCTCTCTCCATCCATCCATCCATCCATCCGTCCATCCACCCATCCCCCCCCTCTCTCTCTCTCCATCCATCCATCCGTCCATCCCTCCATCCCCCCCTCTCTCTCTCTCTCTCCATCCATCCATCCGTCCATCCATCCATCCATCCCTCCCTCTCCATCCATCCATCCATTATCCATCCATCCCATCCCCCCCTCTCTCTCTCTCTCTCCATCCATCCATCCATTATCCATCCATCCATCCATTATCCATCCATCCACCCATTATCCATCCATCCATCCATTATCCATCCATCCATCCATCCATCCATCCATTATCCATCCATCCATCCATCCATCCATCCATCCATTATCCATCCATCCATCCATTATCCCTCCATCCATCCCTCTCTCTCTCTCTCTCTCTCCATCCATCCATCCATCCATTATCCATCCATCCGTCCATCCATCTCTCTCTCTCTCTCTCTCCATCCATCCATCCATCCATTATCCATCCATCCATCCATCATCCATCCGTCTGTCCATCCATCCATCCATCCATCCCCCCCTCTCTCTCTCTCCATCCATCCATCCATCCATCCATTATCCATCCATCCGTCCATCCATCTCTCTCTCTCTCTCTCTCTCTCCATCCATCCATCCATCCATTATCCATCCATCCATCATCCATCCGTCTGTCCATCCATCCATCCATCCATTATTCATCCATCCATCCATCATCCATCCGTCTGTCCATCCATCCATCCATCCATTATCCATCCATCCATCCATCATCCATCCGTCTGTCCATCCATCCATCCCCCCCTCTCTCTCTCTCTCTCCATCCATCCATCCATCCATTATCCATCCATCCGTCCATCCATCCATCTCTCTCTCTCTCTCTCTCTCCATCCATCCATCTTCTCCCTCTTATCCGTGGTCGGGTTGCGGAGGTAGCAGTTCCAGCAGAGAGGCATCCTCACCAGGTGCTATCCTCACCAGGAGGCATCCTCACCAGGTACCAGCTCTTTTTTTGTCACAACGGTGTGGTAAAGCGACTGCAGTACCACTCTCGCTGCTCCGACTCTCCGGCCCATCTCACGCTCCATTGTTCCCTCACTCGAGAACAAGACCCCGAGATACTTGAACTACTTGGGGTAAGGACTCATTCCCTACTTGGAATGGACAGGTTTCCTGCTGAGAACCATGGCCTCAGATTTGGAGGTGCTGATCCTCATCCCAGCTGCGAGCCGATCCAGAGAGAGCTGAAGGTCGCAGACCGATGAAGGCCTTAGAACCACGTCATCTGCAAAAAGCAGTGGTGCAATCCTTAGTCCACCGAACTGCAGACCCCCTCCCCCACGACTACTACATCTTCTGTGGTTCCTCGGGTGTGGAGAACCTGTTGTTGTCTCACTTCTCTTCTGTGGTTCCTCGGGTGTGGAGAACCTGTTGTTGTCTCACTTCTCTCCTGTGGTTCCTCGGGTGTCTCACTTCTCTCCTGTGGTTCCTCGGGTGTCTCACTTCTCTGCTGTGGTTCCTCGGGTGTCTCACTTCTCTCCTGTGGTTCCTCGGGTGTCTCACTTCTCTCCTGTGGTTCCTCGGGTGTCTCACTTCTCTCCTGTGGTTCCTCGGGTGTCTCACTTCTCTCCTGTGGTTCCTCGGGTGTCTCACTTCTCTCCTGTGGTTCCTCGGGTGTCTCACTTCTCTCCTGTGGTTCCTCGGGTGTCTCACTTCTCTCCTGTGGTTCCTCAGGTGTCTCACTTCTCTCCTGTGGTTCCTCAGGTGTGCTTACGGACCTTCAACATGCTTCAGAACCTGCGGCGCCACATGCAGACTCACGTGGATCGGAAGCTCTTCGAGTGCTCTCTTTGTGGGAACGGCTTCACGCGGGCGTCGACTCTCAGAACCCACCAGCTGATCCACGCCGGGCTGAAGCCTCTGAAGTGCCCCGTCTGCCCTGAAGCCTTCAGGAACGCCGTGAACCTGAAGAGCCACCAGACGATCCACAGCGGGGAGAAGCCCTTCAGCTGTGAGCTCTGTGGGAAGAGCTTCAGGCAGGCGGTGAACCTGAAGATCCACCTGAGAACCCACAGGTGTGTTCTGTTGGTTGTGTACATTCAATGCTTTTCATTTATTGTCATTTGTACAGAGCTAGTTTCATCCCACAGGCCATCAGACTGTCAAACACCTGAACCTTTGAAAGAACATGGGGACCTGGTTCTGGATCAGGAGAACCACACCTTAGACCCGCTTCCCTGACCTCATGTCAACAAGCCATGTGTTAGAGAAGAAGAACTACAGTGGAGATGTGACAATGAGAACCTGAGGTCCCAGGCTCCTCCAACAGAGCAACACAATAACACGGATCAAAGTGCAAGTCTATAGAAATAGAATAGAAATAGAATAGAAATAGAATAGAAATAGAATAGAAATAGAATAGAATAGGAATAGAATAGAATAGAAATAGAATAGAAAAGAATAGAAATAGAATAGAATAGAAATAGAATAGAAATAGAAATAGAAATAGAATAGAATAGAATAGGAATAGAATAGAATAGAAATAGAATAGGAATAGAATAGAATAGAAATAGAATAGAAATAGAATAGAATAGAAATAGAATAGAAATAGAAATAGAAATAGAAATAGAAATAGAATAGAATAGGAAATAGAATAGAATAGAAATAGAATAGGAATAGAATAGAATAGAAATAGAATAGAAATAGTGCAGAATAGTCTCTACAGTAATTGTAATGTTGATATATATGAGTTGCAAACAGATGAATGTTCTGGATGCTCTTCCAGAAGTTGAGGTGTCTCACAGTCTGATGGCCTGTGGGATGAAACTCTCTCTGGCCGTTTCTCAATGTCAAGTAAAGCTGCTCCAGAGCCACTACTTCAAGCATGCTACGTCATCGAGTGCCGCCAAAGGACTGTTCCAATGTCCAGCATGCTTGGAAATCTACCGAGGCCGGCGTACTTCTTTGCGGGACATTTCGAGCCTGCACATGAGTAGACTCCGCGGTCTTAAAATCCCCACAATGCTTTGCGCACGGACCAATTTAAAAAATCTTTGGCGAAGAATGGCTGAAGCGACGCAGTACACATTTAAATGTAAGTATGTTCAGCGGCGTAGAAAAGGTGTTGGTAAATATGTCACTTTGTTAAATCTGTTATCACCCAAAGTGTGGTCCGTGAAAGTAAAGCTAGTTCATAATTAGATAGCTACATCGTGAGGTATTTATTTTCGGTACAGTTTATGTTGAAACCGTTAGAGAGAGCGGCACAATTGTTTGTTGCCGGACTGCAGTTAAGCTCAGTTTCTGTAATGAACTGGCAACAGAGTGTTTGGCCTGGTATTCATTCATCACACGGCATTAGAACATACTGTGAGGTGTTTGCTCAAAGGACTAAGGAACAGAGGGAGGCGTATCTTTAAAGGCCTCCGTGTTGAGCTCCGGCACCTGTTCACGGGCGGGACACGGTGAGAAGCAAGTGAGGTTGTTTAGGTAGTAAATATGGTTCAAGATGTAATTTAATCGCTGCTTTCTCCTTCTTATCATTTACATAGGACAATTGTGGCAACAATGGAGATTGAGGGAAGGGCAACCCACGTCCAAAAAGAAGTGGGACAACCTCAAAAACAAGTACAAGGTGTGAGAGGTTAGACATGATTATATGTATTGTGTTTTCATATATCAATGCGTGTACGTGCTTGGTCTTCACTGCTCAGGAAGTGTCCCGCCTCAGGACAGGAGGACGGGACGGGGAACCCACGGCAGCGACTTGGGCCTGGTTTGTCCTAATGGATGAGGCATAAGGGCAGTGTGCGGCGGTCTCGCCCCCCTGCCTGATTGCCTCCATCCAAGAGGACAATCCAGACCCAAGCACTGCCTAGGAAGGTGAGAGAGGGCGAGAGGAGAGGAGAGGGGGAATGGAAAAGAGGGTGAGAGGATCCCTACCTTCATCTCTTAAGGGAGGCCATCCTCTATCAGAGAGAGGCAGAGGCCCGAGAAAGGTCCGAAAAGTTTTTAGCTGTCTTAGAGCGTTTTGCCCCAAAATAAAAAATGACATTGAAATGAAATGAAAATGAACCTTGTTTTGACTTTGCCTCTTTTGTTGATATGTGTGTTTTATGCTACAACGTGCACCAATGTGTGTACAAAGGTTTGCAGACATCAAGTATGATATATGAATATATATATTATTCACAATCAGAAACGGCTTTATTGCCAGGTAGGTTCACGCGTACGAGGAATTTGACTTGATGTCATGGAGCATACATAACACATAGCAAACTATATTCACAACACTAACCACATACAGATAGATAGCAATACAATCAAGTGAAGCAGTAATTTACAGCGAAGTAGAATGCAGGGAATTATAGAATATAACGTGAAATATGTGCAGTAATGTAATGCGTATAGAGTCTGCGTTGTGGCTGAGGTAAAGTGTCAGTGGGGGGGCCGGGCCTTGTTTGAGAGGCCGGTAGCGGAGGGGAAGAAACTGTTCAGGTCGAGAGAGGTTCTGGTCCTGATGGAGCCTCCTGCCAGAGCGTCCATCTCCCACATGGAGGCAGAATTGGTGATGTTGTGGCTGCTTATCCTCCAGGACTTCTTCTACGCTGCAAACAGAAGGAGAAAGTCTTAAGTTAGTTTAGTGGTTCTGTCCTGGAGAGATGCTCATTTTACAAAATGCAGTTACTCAAGTACATAAGCAGATTGTGACATGGGATTTGAGCCATGTCAAAATAGTCATGGTCCAGTGGAGCGACAGCAAGTCCATCCAGCCTCTCTCTCCAGCGCCACTAGGAGCTGCTGGATGGCCTCCCCGCCCAGACCAAAGTCAGGGCGGGGAGGGAAGTCCTCGTAGGCAAAGAATCTCTGGAGCACTGGCACGGTGACATTGATAATGCAGTAATGAGCACAACATAAAGAATAGAGGGCAGTTTCAGTTTACTTGACATTTGTTTCTTGTTAATGGTTCTTTTTTTCTAATCTGCAATTTGCTTGTGTAATAATAATAATGGGTTTCATTTATAAAGCACTTCATATTTGATTTCAAATCCCGAAGTGCTACAAGCAGTGAGCATGAACAGTATAAATAAACATTACACAACACGGTAGAATTAATCAAAAGCAATATAAAAAATAAATAAAAGGTCTAGGGAAAGGCTCTTTTGAAGAGATGGGTTTGGAGGCCTTTTGTAAAAGCCTCCACGGTCTGTGGTGCTCTCATGTGGGAGAGCGTTCCACAGTCTGGGAGCAGCCAGCAGAAGGCTTGGTCTCCCATGGTACGGAGCTTAGTCCTGGGGGGTCTGAGGAGGTTGGAGTTGCTGGAGCGGGTGGTCCGCAAGGAGGTAAGGGGGGTGAGGAGTTCCTTGAGGTAGGGAGGGGCCAGTGTAGTGATTTAAGGATGGGGGTGATGTGGTCGTATTTGCGCACCCTCATCAGGATCCTAGCAGCGCTGTTCTGGATGTTCTGGAGCTTCTGGATGCTTTTGTTAGGGATCCCGATGAGGAGTGCATTGCAGTAGTCCAGCCTGGAGGAGACAAAGGCGTGGACCAGCTTTTCGGCGTCAGACAGAGAGAGTGTGGGGCGGAGTTTGGCGATGTTCCTGAGGTGATAAAAGGAGTTCTTGCACAGCTGTTTAATGTGGGCCTCAAAGGTCAGGTGGGCGTCCATTTTAACACCCAGGTTGGTGACTATTGAGGAGAGGGTAATGTCCTGGCCGGAGAAGGTGATGGTGGTGATGGTGGATGACTGAACCTGGTGTGGGGTGCCAACTATAATGGCTTCGGTCTTGGAGCTGTTTAGTTTCAGGAAGTGTTGCTTCATCCACGCCTGTATCTCCTCCAGGCAGGCAGTGAGTGTGGGTGAAGGCAGGGCTGCAGAGGAGGTGGGGTTGATCCTGAGGAGGTGGGGTTGATCCTGAGGAGGTGGGGTTGATCCTGAGGTACAGGTGGGTGTCATCAGCGTAACAGTGGAATGATACTCCATGTCGGCTGATGATAGAGCCAAGGGGGAGCATGTAGAGTGTGAAGAGGGTGGGGCCGAGAACTGATCCCTGAGGGACACCACAGGTGACGTTGTGGGTACCCGACTCTGCCTCGCCCAAGGAGACGTACTCTGTTCTCCCGGTGAGGTAAGATCTGAACCAGTCAAGGGGAGAGTCAGAGAGTCCGATGGTGGAGTGCAGACGATGGAGGAGGATGAGGAGAGAGGGAGAGCCAGCATCAGCCGTCAGCAGCAGCTCGTTGGTGTTTGTGTGTTTACATTATTAAAAAAACAATTTCAATGTGATTACACATCGATAAGTGTTAGAACGACTACAAACATGCACAAACTATATATGCAACATTGACACGGGAGAAAAGTGTTGCTTGCTTATTGTGCGGGCAGCATGGCAGTAGAAAGGCGTGTCTCCCAAGGGGGATTGAAACCATGACAACTCACAAACTAACTATGGAGTCATTAGGGATAGTTCATTTACTTGATTCACATTAGAGAATACAACTCGTACGGAAGGCAAGCGGCAAGACATATTTAACTAGCTTACCCATTCTCCCAACATTGAATAAAACAATACATTATTTCTCCTCCCCGAGCACGTCGTGCTCCGCAAAGGTGGCGACAGAACATCCTCCTCCTCCGAGCAGACAGATACTCCCGCTCTATCTCTTCCTCCTTCTCAATAAATGCATCCATAGTACTAGACAACACAAACGTGTCCATCTTCGCAATTCAGTTTTGAGTTTTCAAACAAATCGCGCTCCATTTGAGGCGGGGCCTCGCATATGACGCACACCTGTTAGCCTGTTAGCCTGTTAGCCTGTTCCATTCTTCTTCGTTTTCCGAGGCCGAGGCTTGGAGGTATTCTTGCGTCTCTAATGAAGCAACTGACTCGGAGGTCCATGTGCTGCCAAGCAAGCCTGCTGGACATTGAGAAACGGCCTCTGAGTCTGGAGGCTGTAGTCCTGATGCTGCGCTGTGTGTATGTATATATATATATATATATATATATATAGGATATACATATTTTTATATATATATGTATTCTGGATTGTGGGAAACAGCATTTCGATCTCTCTGT